TATACAGTTTGTGAGAGCATTTGCCAGTATATTAAACCACCGCAACAGATTGCCTGGCACAGCTCTCAGAGATGCCTCTGCTTTTCTTTAAAAAGCCATAGCATGGAATTTGTTAGTAGGAAAAAAAATAGATATTACATTATCAAATATAGGAAGTTAAATTGCACCTTCTTCCTCAAAGCTAAAAAATGTTGATTAAATGCTACTCATAGTTGATAAAAAGTAGTAAGGAATCCGTCAAAGGTATTAAGACCTATTCAGCTTCCATACCTATAAACAACTAAGAATGCAAACAAGACTAGGAACATAACATTAAATAATAAAGTTGTACTGTTAAGGAAAAAAGTTTCATTTGAATTAAAAAAGTGAGGATTAAAAACTCTGTCAACCCCTCCAAAAATTGGAAAATCTGTTTTATGAAACACACTCAAAAGGACAAAATGCAATGCAAGTAGCCCAATGAGACAAGAACAAACACTTGTCTAGAAAGCAAGAGTTCTCTAAAGAGGTCCTATACATTCATTCTGAAATAAACGACAAGACAAAGAAAGCAGGTCTTCAAAAGTAGTCTTGAAGTGAGAGTGTTGAAATCTCTCCAGCTGAGACCAGAACAGAATTCATGCCACTGCCAGGACAAATGTCAGGCCCCTTTGCTCATGTTTGGGGGGGGAAAAAAGTAATTTAAGAAAGAAATCACACACACACACACACACACACACCTACTACTATAGTCCTCAAGAATTTTTCAGTCAGTGTTATGAGCATAGCCTGTCCGAATGAAACTTTCCAACCAAAGTCTGTCCCAAAGCACTCAAACATAGGGACAGCATCAGTGACAGTGACATCAAGAACGTTTCTTTTACACGTGCAGCTGGCTTTCCTCGAAAAAATCCTGTAGAGTAATGCATTCCATTCTGCCATGATACCCTGTTCCGTGAAGAAACATAACCCAATAAAGCTTTTAGTAGATATTTTCTGCTCCAAATTACAGGTAATCACATTGATTCACTTAAGCAATGGCTTTGACCTATTATTACCCATCTCTCATAAATACACCTATTATCCATGTAGCAAGCCCAAGGAAAGCATTCATATCACTTTAAGCAATTGAAAAACGTTAAGAGGTGATGGACTCTACTAAAATGAACCATTCTCTTCTGCTCCCACATATTTCCTATGATTTTAACGTCCTTGTAATAACATAATAATGCTTGACATATGAAGCAAATGGGGTTATTTTAACATGCATTTTGTGATTTTTTTTTCTTTTGCCAATTAGTATATCCAAAACTGCTCATTATCCAGGCTGGCAAAAAGCTGCCTTCAACCCATTGGTGTTTACGATGAAACTGTAATCAAACGTGCTGATGCTCATCCCGGTGCGTTCCCAAGATTCTCAGAACACACGGGACTGGAGCAGATCTCCATCTACCCTGGGGAGCAAAACAGCCTGGTTTTGATTCAAGGTGAGATCTTCCTTTGGCTTGGAGTCTTCTGGGTCCATCTGTACAGTTGCTTAGAACTTGGCCATTTTCCCACAACTGCAATATTCATTTAAAACCAGAGTGGCATTCTCAAATACATAAAAAGGCAATGTCCCTCAACTTTTATTCTCACCTGGAATAGACATAAAAAGTACGTTCATGCATATGCACAGAAGTGTGTCTACACATTCATATTTTTAAATTATGCGGCATAGAGTTTGAGAGCATTGATGTTCTGGGTGACATTTATCACTTCTTCTAGTCCAGGAAATATTATAGAATCTGAAATGAACTTTTTAAGATGAGTCTAATCCAACCTAAGAACATACAGCAAAGTGAATTAAATAGTTATTAAGGAATTAGCAATTCAGCAGTGAAGTGTTGAAGTCTCAACCCACACAAAGGAGAATCTGTGCAGCTATAACATGAAGTTAGCATTTATATATAATATATTATATATATATATATATATACATACTCAAGATTGGGAAAGAACTGAAGATTTGGGAAGATGGTACAAAACAGGAACTTCAAATACATAAATGATGTTTTTATTCCCTCTTGATCTCTTCATCATCTACAGGCAGTAGGAGAAAAACAAGCAGAGCTGCATGCCTCTGCAAATACAGGTGTGCAGTCCTGACGTGGCCCTGGCAGCTTTTCAAAAAATGTCCAGTCCAGGTTTACAGCAAAATATATATGTATATATATATGTGTATATATATATATATAATTTAAACCACAAAGCTGGTTTCACTCTATCAGCTCAGTTAGAAATAACTACTAAAATAAGATAGACAGGGCTTTACCTGGGAAGACACAACATCCTTTAAACACTGGGGGCCTGAGCTCTGAACTGTGTTCCTTATGCAACTAAACTAACGTAATTACCTCCAAGACGAACAGGCAGCATCCTAAAGGAGAGACTCCATCTCACTAACCAAATTCAAGACGCTATCACCAATTGCACTTTACAAATTCTGTGTCATTGGGTATATCTAAAATTCAATTTGCCACTGTTGTTTTCCTTAAAAATTCCTGACTAGCTAGTTACAAGAATTTCCTTGTTAGGCCAACTGTTTTCTGGAAAGAAGCATTTGGTAAGTGTCATGAACTCTAAACTGCTAGTATAAGCTCTATTTCATAATGCTTGCTTCTAATACAGAAATTCAACTCTAGTTTCTAAGACCAGTACACGAGAAAACCAAGGAGCCTGTCTAAATACCCTAGTGGTTAATGCTAATTCTGAGTCAAGGCAAAGAAGAATGTCATGGATGGTGTTTGAAGAGTTCCACAGGCTTTGCCTTCATAATTAATAAGCTGACACAGCATACTAAACACTTATCAACACAATCAATGGGGGCTGCTTCCTTCTTGGGAAAATAGATAAAAAACGGTTCATGGAGTTTTCCTGCAGAATTGCCTGTAATACACAAGCATGTCACCAATACCGTGGTTCTTTTGAAGAATTTCATCCCCAGCAGTTTCATCTGGGTAACATTTAACAATTTCACTATTTTAACATTTTGAAATGCCAGAAAGAACACACTGATCCTGCAGCTAGGTTTATTAGACAAGAGCAGTCTCCCAGGCAAGGCAGAAAGGAACACAGTCCGCTGGGAGATGGGTAACAGAAAGAAAAAAAAAAAAACACTAGACAGCAAACAAAGCCGAGCCCTGCTCCACGGTGAGGTCTCATTTCACCAGAATTACAAACTTTGCACACACGCGCGCACACACACACACACACACACACACAATTAAGTAACATCACCTATGGCTTAATCAAGGTTCTAGTAACAACATCCCTTTCGATACACAGCCACTGATGTCATTAAAACTGGGGGGTAGAAATATGAGGTTTGTCTTCTTAACAAGGAGCATTGCAAGCACAGTGATTTGGAAAGGTCAGAAGTGAGCATTCCCACCAGGTGGTATTATCACACCCTCATGTAGGATCAGGAACACAGTGAAATCCCCCCACCCCATTAGACATCTGATACATACATACCTCAGCCACAGTGTTCCTTGCGTGGAATGGGAGGCATCTTTTGAAGCAAAAAAAAAAAAATGAGATTGTTCACAGTAAGTTCTCCTAATGACCTCAGATGACTAGTTTTTAAAAACCACATCCACATCAAGCCTCCTTCCCTGCTACAGGAAGTACTAGCGTGCCTACAAACAACCGCCTGCAGTAGTGCTGCTTAGCATTCTGGAGGTGCACGGATTCTGTTCCTGGGTGGATGCAATCAGAAAATTATTCTCCCAGTTAAGAAACTATTCACGGCCTTTCATTTTGATAAAATTGCTCATAACTGAGTTAAAGAAGGGAGGGGTATGGAGGGAAATGGGAGGCAGAGAAAAATCAATCAGTAGATCTATCTCCCTTTCAAATTGCCAAAAGCTGGGGTTGACAAGCAACACTCTGAGCCAGACAGTCCTGCGGGAACCTCCAAGGCTGGCTGCTCCTACTTTCTCAATTTTCTGCCAAACGGGACTTAGGAGTGACCCCACAGATAATTAGTGTCCACTGAGTTTCCTCTAAGCGTGTGCATTGCCCCCATTGTTCAAAGGAATTAACTTGGTAATAAAAAGGAGAAGTTATGGGATCCAGAGAGGTATCTTTCAACATCTTTAAAACCAGTAAATCTGCTCTAATCTGTTGTTGGATTAAATGCCCAAGGAGGCTTAATAAACCAAGAGATAAACAAAGGCAGGAATAGCTAATAGCTCCTATCTGAAAGAAAATTAAAAAGATGGGAAACAGAATGCTTCATAAACAGGTTGCTAAATTTTTCTCATCTCTTTAAAGCCGTTGAGAGATGAACCATGTACTACAATTAAAAACATGCATGTTGCTTTAAACTTTGAAATGACCAGTTTTTGACATCTATCCCACAAACATTTGCATTCAAGAGATGCTCCCATTTATGACTTGTAAGCCTTACCAAGAAATATCCTAAATGAAGCATCAACTTTGTTCACCTGGTGACAGCTCTTAGTTGCATGGTATTATAACGTTCAATTACTATGTATATTAGTTTTTCCTTAAAGAGAAATGGCTACTGGAGCTATCGTTCTCTATCGGAAGTTCATTATTTGACATAGATTTCTTTACATGCCATTTAATAGCTTGGTTGAGTCGTTTCCCAGATTTTGGTGCAGAGACATGTATTTCTCTGGAAGACTTAGTTTCTGATATGGTTAAAAGACATCAAGCATCAACTCAAGCGCCTGTTTTTTCAAACATACACAATTACACATTTTCTACAAACAGACATCAGTGTCTACAGAGCTAGATGCACGTTCCGTATTTTGTAAATGGTAAAAGACTCCAGGAGTAGCTCAGACCACAGTTAACAAGCTGGGACTATACAGCTAAGTAAACACCACCGACGCACGATTTACTCTCCTGGAACACGAACTCCGCGTAGGACACCTGGGGACCACTGGCCAGTACCGAGGGGGGCGGGAGGCGGAAAAGCTATTCCCAAACGCCACTGTGCCAGGTCTTACCCTTCGCATCCCCTGGTCCACGGGCCAGAAGCTCCCTCGGCACCTGTCGCCCAGCCAAGGGGCTGGCTCTCCGCTACAAGGAAATCTGCCCCCAGACTCTAGGAGAGCTCTGCAGACAGTCCAGGCTCTGGCGCCAGGGGAGCCCAAAGGAGGAGGAGGTGGAAAAGAAGTGGAGAAGGTAGAGGCAGAGAGCGAGCTGGGGAGGCGGCGCGGGGCGCGGTGGGGCGGGGTGAAGCGGGGCGTGCCTGCGGCGATCGGTCAGTAAGTCAGTCGGTCTGCGCGCCCCGCGTCCCCGGCTTCCAGCACCCGTGCGTCGCAGCCCCCAGGACTGTTGCCCCTGGGCTCTGGCAGGCCCGGTTCGTTCCCTGGCTCTCCCCGGCGTCCCGTTGACCGCGCTGGCCGGCGTGGGGCCGCCCGCCTGGGCCAGCCCAAGCGCCCGTCGCCGCGCCCTGCTCGCGGTCCCTGCCTCTCCCTCGGCTTGCGCGCTGTCTCTGGCTCGCTCTCGCTCCAGTCCCATTTATGAAGCGTGGTCCCATCACGTGTTAATGAGCCTTTGTCCTGCCCTGGCAGCGGCGGCAGCAGAGACTCCGCCAAGGGATCTGCGCGGGGAGGGACCGGCGCGCGGCGCCCGCGGCTCCAAACTTTGCTGCGCGGTCCCTGCCGCGGCGCTGGCCCGGGGGCCAGAGAGGGCCGGCCCTTGGCGCGTGGCGCCCACTGTGTCATCCTCATTCTCCGCCACCGCCGCGTCCCGGGGACCCCCGCGGCCTGACCCTGTTCTGCTCCCTGGCGCCCTCCCACCCTGAAGGGGCCAAAGGGGACGCGTGCCTCACTGCCCGCGACCTCGGGGCCGTTAATCACGCGCGCTGCTCAGTGCCAGCACCTCGCGGGAGGTCACGCACCGGGCGGCCGGGACCCTAAGCCAAGGCAGCAGGCAAGCCGTCCGGGTGCGGTCTCCGCCCGACCCTCCCCTGCGCGCCGCCCCCGCTCTCTCAGCTACCTGGCCGCCGCCACCAGTCCTCCGCCCTCGGGGCGCACGACGTCGCCCGGGCGCCTCCCGCGCTAACCCGCGCGACCACTCGGGCGCGCCCAGCCTCCGGCGGGGGCCGCACACGCTCGGCTCCGTGGGCGGCCGGCGCCCCCTCCCCAGCCCTGGCTCTCCCCGCACCTCCTGCTCGCGGGGAGACGCCGCCGCGGCGGGCGGGGGCTCTGCTGGGGCGGGCGCCTGGGGACCGGCGGTGCGCCCGGCCGCCGCCGCAGGAATTAGGGGACATGCTCGTTAATTGGTTCCACTATCCGCCGCCGTCTGCCTCCTGTGTGCACGGATCAAACCTTAATTGGTCTTTACATTTATCACGGCGAATTGCAACCCTATACACGAGCGTCAGCCCGCGCTTCAGCTGAGAGGGCCATTCTCCGCCGGGTCCCCGGGGCCCAGCCGGTTGTGGCTGCGGCTGAATTGCGTTTTAGACCTTTTTCTCTCCTGAGATTTGGGTCCACTCGACCCCTGAAGGTTTCCACCTGATGGAGCCACATCCTGTCAGCTCCAGGGTCCCCGCTGTGGGAACAACGTTCAGTTCCAGGCAGGCGGAGTAGCTGCTTGGCATTCATTTTAAGACGCCTTGTTCAGATTCGAGGACATCTAGCCCAAACAGCATCCTACAAGACGGTTTGTTTTTTAAAAAATAAATAAATAAATAAAACCAATTTCCCCTCACGTCCTATCCCTGCTCAGTGCCAAAAGCAGTCATAACGTGTGTCTGGGCCCCTATTTTGAATCTGGTGACAGGGATGCTAGAGGGCGAACCTCGGGGGAAGAAGGAACATTGAGGGAGAGGAAGCTGCAAAACCCGGGGAGGAGAGTTGGGCTCTGAGAAGGAAAGTCTGAAATCTCCCTACCTACAGGGCTAGCTGAAGAAAGGCTTCTTGCAGAGCTTCAGCTGTCTGAATATCCCTGAGACCACTTTCCACTAGAGAGAGCAGTTTCCGTTTCCATGTCAGGAGATGGCCTTTCGAGATCCAGCCCACAGCTGAAGCAATCAGGTTGTAGGTAAATATAAACAAAGATCTGACGGACCGGTCCATAGGGGGAGAAATGATAGCGAGAGATGGTGGGTGGGTGAGTCCAAACCTGCGGCCGCTGAGTCCAAACCTGCGGCCAGGTACAGGCTTTGCTATGCTTCCTCCAACCCATCTAGGGCATTAAAAACCCGCTCCTGGAGATTTAGAGAAGGAGGCTTCTGCCCTTTTCTTTCAGACGTTGTGAATGTTTTTTATTTCGCCCTCACCTCAGATCTCTAGCAGAAGCAAACATTTGCAAAAAAAAAAAAGGGGGGGGCTTTCTTTGCACCTCCCGGCCTCTGGGTGTCTCACCACTACCTGCCAACACTAGTTCAAATGGTGGCCGATAATTTAAAACGGGGATCAAGCAGTTCTTGCTCTCAGTGTGGTCCAGTTGGGGAGCTGGGCTCTTCGATGGTTTCAGAAAGCATGCTTTCTTGTGGGTGTCGGTGCTATTTATGCCTTTGGGTGGCTCAGCACCGTTGTTCGGCGTCATCCACGTACCCAACAGAGGCATACCCTGGCAGGATATAGAAGACTTTCTTCCCAATATTGAGTCACCTCCTTGTTGGTCAGTATCAAATCTGGAGGAAGAAGTCACTTACAACCTGTGGGAGGAAGGTACTCTATGGAGTCTTCTGTCAAGAGGAGCTTTGTTTCCTCCTAAGACAGAGCATCCTAATTCCTAAGGAGGATGCTGATGCTTATCCATGCCTCAGAATCATCCCAAAGCTCTCTGACTAGTGGTGTACTTTTTCACTGAATCCTACGAAACATGAGCAAAAATAAATAAATAAGAATCTATGATTCGGATGGCTAGGAGTTAGCTTGTTAATTGACTAGCTGAAGTGATCCACAGACTCACACTATCAGTATTAATCTAATCAGGGAGAGATTCCTGCAGCTATTACCGTTCCGCTAGTTATTTTGTTGTTCAGAACGGGGACCTGGAGTCTGGCAGCTGGAAAATCGCTGCCGACTTTATTTAGGGTTCAAAGATAACGCTCAATATCGGAGTCAAACTTGGACTTGTGCCGTGGTGTTTTATCACCACAAAGGAGAATTATGTTGTTTGGGAAGCGCCCTTCTTGTTGGTATGCATGTATGTTGTTCAAGTTCTGTCTGTCCCAAGCTCACCAGTCAAGCAATGAGCTGCTGTAACTTTCTTCCTGAGGTGGGGAGCTGGAAGAGAGGTGGGCAGCTGGCAGTGAGAAGGCCAGGCATCCTCTGACACCTTGGCCTTCACTTTGCAAAGATGGCTTTATTTGGGAGGGGATGATTTACATCCCACATGTGGCTGAGTGCATCCTGTCCTCCCAGAGGAGGCAGCAGGGCTGGCACAGGCAAGCTGTCAGACATCTATGCCGAGGACACATGCAAACCCGACACAAAATGTGAATGATTCGTGATCACTACAGACCCAGGGTGAATCAGAATCCACTTCCTTCTGAGGACAGACCTGGCAGCTCCTTAGCCAGGCCTCCCTAGTTCCTTCAGGCTTTCTGCCTCTTCAGATCCTCATTCTTTTGAAATTGTAACAGAGCTATGATGAGCCAATTTGCTGCTGTTCTATGTAATTTGGGTTATTCATTCAGTGGGATGTAGAAGATAAGAACACAGTTAAAGTGGCATCTTTCAACTTCAAAGAAAGATATAAATCTTAGACAGTCGATATGTTCCTAGTTACATGAGAGACAGAGCATTAAAGAAGCAATGGCTTCTCTGTGAGATGGCCGTTAATCCCAAAGAGGCTGCACATCAAGGTTTCCTATTTACCTTGTCCTGGCTCATCAGACCCTCCCACTCCCAGAGTGATAGACAGTGGTTCCCTTATTTGGAAACAAAGCAAAAACACCACTCTCTTTTAGAATTTGGAGTTTGGGGTTCAAGTTTGGCCCCCTTGTAAATTTGGTATATACAGAGTGATGGTCATTCCACGGGGCTAGAATGCTGGATGGTATTTGGGGAATGACCTGGTTACATGATTTTATTCTAATTTAGAGCGTTGCTTTAGAATTTCAACGGTTGCTCCTGTCTCTCTCCAGAAGTGTCAAAGCATCTCTTATTGCAGTGGCTCTGCCTTGGCCTTGCTTGTGGTCTGAAGACCTGCAGCCCAGGCTCTATGCGCTGCAGTGTGAGGTCTGAGATGCCTGCTTGTGACATGTTCTACTAGTGATGCAGCAGTCCAAAGAACCACCCACATCACTTCTGCATGCATCTCAGAACCACAAGCTGCTGATGAAACAGGAGAGAGTCTTTCTCATTCCACCACTAGAAAGTCAGCTTCCTGAAACTAGCTTCAAGTGGAGAAGCAGTCGCCAGGGTAAGATATGAGGGAAAGAAGGATGAGGGCTTCTTTGACTTTGGGGATACTCTGTTGTTTTTGATATAGAGAAGATGATCTCGGTGCTCTTTCCATGCAATGAAACACACGTTCCTTAGGGTGTTTTTCTTTTCTTCTTGTCTTCTTGCCTCCTTTCATTAACTTGCCTGCTGAGCAGTGGCAAGGAAAGCCAAGAAATGACAGGAAGAAATTTTTCTTTTGTTAATGTGCTGTGTTCTGTTTTGTTTTGTCACCAAGCAGAGGATCGGTAATGAGGAGATGGAGCATCCTTACATTCAAACCATGTGTGAAGCGTGCTCTAACAGAACAAACAAGCAAATAGCATAAAAATATAGCAATGAGAAACCAGGTGAATACAGCTTTTGTTCCCCTTGATGAAACTCATACAATCACTGGAGCTCTATAATTTAAAAGGCTAAAAACATACGTCTAAATATTTCATTATTTTTAAAAATGTGATGAGCGTGTCTAAATATTTCACTATTTTAAAAAAAATTGGATAAGCCGCAGTATAATAATGTCAGAACAGCAAACAATACAAAGCCAGTAATAAAGACAGGAACTTCTTAGTCATCTGCAACCCTCCTTGCATAGCTAGTCTTTCTGGCTATCGTAGTTATTTTTCTATTGCTATGATAAGATACTATGACCAAGGCAACTTTGTTAAGAAGAAAGAGTTTATTTGGACCTACAGAGTCATGGCAGTCATGGCAGGAACTATGGCATCAGGCAGCA